TCATGCAGGAGTTGAAATTGTTTTCCTCATGACAGATAGCTCAGGCAAGATTAGTCAGCCACTGTTTCAGATATAATGCTTTTTTATTATGCATACTTTATGCAGACTATTATATTTGTAACATATATTTCTGCATACAGCAAATTAACTATTGTGTAATGCAAGGACCAAGAAAGAATATCATTAGTTTTTGCTATCCCGCAGTCTTGAACAGCTGGTGAAATATATACCAATCATCCAACAGCTAGCTTCATGTTAACATGTATAACAAAGCCTCAACCATTCCTGTTTGACAGGACTTTACCATGTAGTAATAAATAAGGCTGAATTATTGATGGCGATAACTGCTAATATTATTATGACCTCAATTAAGTGCTTTTTTCAGACACATTAGCAACAAAAGGTCTTCTCTTTGCTCATAGCTGTTTTTTCAAGCTCCACTTTACATTAAAATCTAATTGATCAAACCTATTTGCCATTTCACTGTGAGTGGATAACCATAATGGGTAATCTATCAGCATGGTGCTCCCCGTAAAGCTATTAACACCTTTTGTTGTTTGCCTCTCATTTCTATACGTGCTGGGAGGTTCAAAAAGGCAAACCCTACAATCTGTTAGGATTGTACAGAGCTGTGACTTGTGGCACTCTTTTAATTACCATAGTTTTTTAACTCTACCATTAAATACTGATATTTCTGACACTAAGTAATTCTTTATTTACTTATGAAGCTGTGAGACAGCTAAATTAAAGCTGATTAGCAAGAAGGCAGCTCCACTGCTTGCAGCTGAGGTGAGTTTAGCTGAAGCATGCCATCTCCCTACAGCTCTCTGCTTGACTCTTCATCGCAAGGGTTGAGATCACTCAGCAGCAAGCCAAATAAATGGAGCTTAGAGTTTTTTCCCCTTTGGCAAATTGGCAAATTGTATTAGTTACATGGATACACGTGTAAGGTATGGATCAGTTGTTTGTTTGTCAGAGAGCTTTTATAAAAGGGCATGGGGAGATAATTTCTGGGGACAGATTGTTCTGTGTGCATACTCAGGGAGTTGTGGGATTACATTCATTAAAAAGTAAAGAGCTAATGAAATAATAAGATGAAGACTAAATAAACTGGAGAATATAAATGCAAAGCTCTAGTGTAAGTAAAGATGTCTCTCTTTTCATGCTGTTACTGTTTGCATTCTCTACTTTAAAGTGAAACCTGATTCTTTCCCCCTTCTGGTACCAATCCTCAGCTTTGCACAGTTTGATTCTAGAGATTCAGCCGTTCGATACCTAGGGACTGAGAGGCACAAGACGATAAGATTCCATGACTCTAAGTTCATAATACTGACACCAGTCACGCGGTGACTGTTCAGCAGCTGGCTAAAATGAGATGACTCAGTCCGTGCCGTAATGGACAGGTGTGTATATCACAACTCCCAAGTGGTACCCTTAGTGGCATTCTCACCAGAGAAGCTAAAAACTCAATGGGCAAGAAAACAAATGTCAACCTTATGCCTACATTAGAAAATGGCAGCAAAAAATCTCCACGTATACTATCAACAGTTCAACTATATCAAAGATAGCACTGATGAGAGTGGTCTTGTAAACACAGATGTTAAAACCATCAGAAACAATTGGAAACTTCTCCATGCCACACCTCCCATTGCTTGAGTGAGCCAGTCTTGGCACTATTCTGAAGTATTTTAATTAACAGAGAATAATTAAAAAATGTAAAGATTTTTAAATGGAAGGCACCTGCAGTAAAGACTCAGAGACCAATTCACTGCTGGCATCAGTAGATTCAATAGCATTTATTTAAACAGTTATGTCACTGATGATACCAGTAGAGCATATGGCCCTTTTGCTTGAATGTATTGTGATGAGTCAAAAGCTGAATAAAATTCACATACTTTTATATTGGCTTAAAAAGACATATTGCTAAGATGCTTGCACTTTGCATAGCTGTTGACACAGGTAATATATGGCAAATTGGTAACTACATGCTGAAATTGTTGTCTGATATGGGAAATTCAGTTGTTTTAAGATGGCTAAAAACAGAAAACTAGTTTATCCCAAGACAAAGACCTACAGACAAGCTCATTGTATTTCTTTAAGTTCCTCTGAAGTATCCAAATTAATACTTTATCCATGGACAAGGGTAATTTGAGTTAACTGCCATTCAAGCTACACGTGTAAAAGATTGTCTGGGCCTGTTTTGATGCAAGTCGAAACCTGGGACAATCAGCTCCAGATTAAACTGGTTATGTTTTTAGCCTAACTGATTAGTGCTTCCAGAATTATAAGTCTCAAATACTTTACAGCACAGCCAATTTTCTGGGCTGGACCTTCCCTTTGTGTATCTTTATCTTGTCCTGAACAAACCAGAACTGTCCTTTGACCAATTTAATGGTGTCCTGCAAGACTGAATATGAAGGATAGTGATGACAGCCCATCCATTTTACTGTCTGAAAGGGGATCCTCCTACTGGACATCATGCAGAGCAGCATTTAGGAGC